TAATTTATTAAAGCTAAAACTGCTTTTCTTGAAATTAAAAAATACATTAAAAATTACCTATTTAATGACTACAGTAAGCTATTTAGCCTCAGTTAGGTGCTACTTTACAGTATGTTCATACAACTCACTGAGTCTTATGCTTGAAGTCATATATGTGTTTACAAATACGTATGTATGTGTGTATGTATGTGTATGTATACATACACATACACACTGAACTTGCTATTGAAATTATTTAATTAAGGTTTTTTGGGGGTATATTAATAACATGTGGGGAAAAAAAAGAGGCATGGAAAGCAACCACAGATAACCAGAGACAGTGTGGAAGGGTGGGAAATGGCAGAGGGTGAGAAGTAGGGAATCAGGCGGGGGAGGGGGAATGCAAAATATATAAGAAACAAGAAAGGAAAAATTATTTGTAGATAATTACTATTAACAGTCATCTATAATTATTATGAAATTACTAAAAATATATTCCAAACATATATCCCAAGAACGAACTATATGTCTATGTCTTTGTAGATGGAAAAGGCAATTTAAAGGCCATATTTTTAACTCACAAAAGCAATAATTTCTTCCATTTTGAAGAAAAAGATAAAAAGGAAAAACTACATCTTTTTTTTAAGCTAATTTCCATCTATAATTCCTGACTTATTCTTTGAGGTCTAAATTAAAAGATGAAGTTAGCACTAGGTTAAACTCTACAGATAAAAAATCAAAATAAGATAATCATTTTTAGTGAATGCATTTACTATATACACAACTCGTCAAACATTCCACCCAAATAGATGATAGAACAGCCTTTATTCTTAGCACTTAATGTTTTGAGTGGTATCTCCTATGACAATTTAGAGAAATCTCCAGGTGTAAATGTAGGGATCTCATTACATGACTGCCTAGAATACATATAAAATGCCCACTGAACCTCTGTAAGATTGTGAACTTCTAAGACTGTTTGGGGCCAGCAGGTGGCATAGTTAAGGTACTGGACTCCCATATGGCTGACTGTGGTTAAAGTCCTGGACCTGATGGCTTGAAAATTATACTGGGCACATGTGTGTGCATGCCTTTAGGGATTTTAATCCCAGGATGAGAACAGAGAAGACTGTGGTGTGCTTGTCCCCACTAATGGGTGATTTCTCACTTTCCCTCTCACTGTCTGTCTCAGAAGAGTACACATGCCCTATGGAAAAAACCTTAAAAACAATGATCATCTCGGAACCAGCAGTTAGCGTAATGGCTAACGAGACTCCCATGTAGTCAGACTGCGGTTCAAGCCCCGGACCTGGTGGCTTAAACTCACGCCAGGCACGTGTGCGTGCATGCCCAAGATCCCAAGAGGAGAATGGAGGAGAAGCAATTGTGGTGTGGCCATACCCCCTGGGGGATGAGTTCTTGCTTTTTGTCTTTCTGTCTCTCTGGCAAGCGCACACGTCCTGTAGCAATAAAAAAACTCTCCAAAAAACCAAACAAACAATGATCATCTCATTTGCATTTTCCCCTTTAAGAATAAGCATGTTCTCTGTTTGTTCTCTAATCCAGCAGACTTAGGGTCCTCAGCTCTTGCCTTGTAAATTCCTCCTTTCCTGTTGGTCGTTTCTGTGTCTCTGTTCTCATTTGCTCTTTCTAATTGCACCCATTTCATTTTACGTAAATATCTCAGGAGAAGCAGAGATCACCCACCCCACTGAGATTTTCCTTACGTTTATTCTTGACTCACTTTTATTAAAGTAAGTATCACTGACCTCCTCCTTCCGTTCTTAAAATAAAACAAAATTGCTACTTGTTTAAGTCACTCAGACATCTGGGACTGTAAAAGTGCTTTGTAAATGTAAGTTCTTAATATGATCTTGTGTCTCTTAAAAAACATTCTCAAGGGGCCTGCAGGTAGCATGGTGGCCAGGGGCCCTGGACTCCCATGTGGCTGACCACGGTTCAAGTCCCAGACCTGGAGGCTTGCTTTCTCATTTTCTCTCTCTCTGTCTGTCTCTGGTCAAATTTAAAAAGAATAATAATAATGAGTAAAGTTAAATAAAATAATTCTAAGAAAAAAAATTCTCAGGACCAGCAGATGGTGTAATGGTTAAACTGCTGGACACCCATATAGCAGCCTATAGTTCAAGTCCCAGACCTGGCAGCTTAAAAACACGCCAGGCACGTGTGTGTGCCCAAAATCCTGAGAGGAGAAAGGAGAAGGGATTGCGGAGTGGCCATCCCCCCGAGGGTGATTTCTTACTTTCTGTAGGTCTCTCAAGCAAGCACATGTGCCCTATAGCAAAAATATCCCTCTAAAAATATTTTTAGAAGATTCTCAATTTTCCTAATGCAGGAACCCAATACATAGAACCATCCCATTAAATCAGGAAATTGACTAAGTCCAAAGAATCTTCATTTATGTATTATAAAAACAGCTACATAGCAATTCCGTTTAGGAATTTTTGCTGCTGAAGCATCCCTGTAAGGGTAAAAGACTGATGTCCGAGACTATTATGCTGCTGCTTGTAATTGAGAGGCTCTAATGAGTGGAGCATGGCAAGACACACCAGTAGGGACAGAGGAAAGAGTTAAAAAGACACCCCAATTTATAAAGGGGGATGTGGGGAAGAGAGGCAAGTACCCTGCCCAAAGAGAGCGCTAGCTGAGGGCAGAGAGCAGAAATATAAGTCAGATGCAAATGTCTCTAGTACAGAGTTACTTAATTGGCTCACTGTAGCTTTTAATTACCATTATTTACACAGATATGTCAAGTATACATCTGCCCGAAACTCAACCCTAGGACAAATGCAGTGATTCATTATAACACTCGTGGGCATATTAGCAGTTGAGTCTATCTACTCTCAAACTATAATTTTAGACTCATCCTTCCCCCTTCAAACTTTGTACATTATGAATTTTGTAGACATTATTGACAGAAACATTTGACCTGAAAGTCTTTAATAGAAAATTCATCTAGTTCAGTTTTTCCACTGTGAAGATGAGAAAACAAACTCGGAGTGAAGAGGAGTCTGAGCTTTGGTGACACAAACTCATGGTACAGCTGGGCTAGCCCTGGGCTCTGTCCAAGTCCCCTTTAGCATCAAAATACAGACATGTCAGTTATTTCAAATTGCCTCTAGCTGTGCTGGAAGGTCTTGAATAGTGTGTAACAAATCTAGTCACACTTAATGTTTGGTGCAAACTCTGGTGGATAGTCTGCAATTGATCATGTGGTTTCCCATCTCAACATACTATCAATAGAAATAGGAGGTGAGTTTCAGGAAAAGGCAGAAGCACATACTGTGACAAGGGCCCAGAACACTTATCAGTCCAGTGGGTTCAAGGACAGAAACAGGAAATTCTTTTTCATTTTTTAATTTATTTACCCACCTCTTCCATGAGCTAAAAAGAGAGAGTTCTTCCAATAAGGTGCAAAGGCCACGATCCACCCCCTGCCTCAGGCCAGCCCTGATAATGGGCCTAGTATGCTGACACACTCAAGGAGATGTCCAAACTTGAACCAGGAAACTTCCTAGGTGAGATTGCCTGGCAGGGTGTCACATTTTACCATTGTACCACCTTCTGGCCCCAGATTCTCATTCTTGAAGTGATAAAGCATGGAGAATCTCAGAAACTTGTTCTCTGCAGCATTTCAATGTCATTTTACTCTGCACATTCATTCTAGAGAGTGATATAATGGAATCTCCAGCCCATTCCACCTGGATATTTCTCCCCAATTGTTATAGGAGGTACCATTCAAAATATTAAATAAGAGAGCCAAACAAGAACAGAGCAATATCAAAACAAACTCATGAAGGAAGATCCTAGAATGTTCATTTTGCTTCACATGATCATACAATTCCAATTATCACTGATAATGCAACTGAATTACGAACTGCTTTCAGAATAACACATTGAATTAGGCATCTAATGTATCACAGATGTATCACAGTTATTTTCATGGTATTACCAGTTTCTTAAATCTGATTTCAGGAAAAATGCTATTCATAAAAAGCAAATATAAAAATGGATTCATTTCTTACATTATCTATCTACCTCTTTTTTTTTTTTTTTTGAGAGGTTTTTGCTATAGGGTGCATTCACTTGCCAAAAAGACAGAAAGAGAGACAAAAAGCGAGAAATCACCCCCTGGGGGGATAGCCACGCCACAATCCCTTCTCCTCCATACTCCTCTCGGGAGCTTGGGCACGAACACACATGCGCCTGGTGTGAGTTTAAGCCACCGGGTCCAGGACTCGAACCATGGTCAACTATATGGGAGTCCAGCGACATAGCCATTATGCCAACTGCTGGTCCCATATTTACCTCTTTTCAAAATAAATGAAATAAAAGCTGTTTAATGTTTGCACACACACACACACACACACACACACACACACACACATGCACAATAGAATTTGTGAGCAAAAGAAGTATCTTATATCACCAGCACAAATATTCAAAAACATGTCCACTCCTTGCTGACCTTTCAAAGCACTTAACTTCTAGCTGACAAAGATAAAGGAAGCCTTTTGAAAATCCTTCTTTCCCACCCGCCCCCCCCACCCCCCCGATTGCCAGAGTGGGTGTGCACTCACCAGAGAGAGGGGCTGGGATTTGAACCACAGTCAGTTGGCTATACAGGAACCTACTTCCTTAACCACCAGGCAACAGGGACAGTCCTAAAATCCTTTCTTTCAACATTTAAAAATAATCTCTCCTCCCTCCCCAAAGTCCCTAGCTTTTCTTTTAACATTTAAAAACACATGTGGATAACACTACCATTTAAACACTTCAAAATAACTCGTGTCTAGCCTACAAAAGGACGAAGAGGAAGGTCCTGTTGACACGACAGGAGAGTACGTGCCGACGCTAAAATGATGAGGGATCACACTGGAACCCATCAGGCTTTACATGAAGACTTTCCCAGTTAGCATCGGACGTCACGTCATTCCAGGACACTGAGGTCTGACTGCGACTACATCCCTCTCAACCATGAAGCAAGCCAAGGCCAGTTGTCTTACCTCGAACTGCGGGTAGGGAGGAGTCATCGCTGAAGGGGGTCCTGAGGTGGGAGGTGGTATCCCTGAAGTGGGTGGGAACAGACCCAAGGCATTCAGATTTAATCCAGGAATTAAATGTGCTTGAAGCTGCAACAGTAAAAAGGTCTCTTAATTTGAAAATTTTTAAAAAATCAAAGGAAAGGGAGCTTTTTAAGTGACACACTCAGACTGTGACCTTATCTAGTAAGAAAAAAAAAATCTTAAGACTCAAATTTTAGAACAAAGCAGATGTTTCCAGTGAATATACTTGTGCACACAACTTCTGTTGGTATGTTTATATCTCCATGCTGGTTTGTCCCCTCCTTGATACACAACTGCACAGAGGTGTCTTGGGGAAGGCAATGCAGCTTCCTGCCCCTCACCACCCACTCATGGTGCTTAGACAAAAATGCACTCTGTAGACTACGGGCACACCGTAAATTAGACTGATATCTTGTAGTAGCTGAAGAGATAAACAAATGGGATTCCTTCACTGAAACCAAACAAGGTAAAAAATTGGTTTGCTTTTAACATATGCCAGGTATACACAGCAACTCTTAAGAATTCTTTACTTTGGGACCAGCAGATGGTGTAATGGTTATGTCAGTGGATTCCCACATAGTCAGCCGAGGTTCAAGTCCTGGACCCACAAGCTTAAAACTCACACCAGGAGCATGTGTGTGCGTGCCCAAAATCCCAAAAGGAGAACAAAGGAGAAGGGACTGCAGCGTGGCCAATCCCCCTGGGGAGTGATTTCTTGCTTTCTGTCTCTCTGTGTCTCTGTCTCTAGCAAACGCATGCACCCTGTAACAAAAATCTCTCTTAAAAAAATAAAAAAGTTCTTTACTTCTTGAGGTACATTTTGCACTCATGGGTCAACAGTCCTCCAACAAAGTTGAGCCTTTGGGAGGTCCCAATCTAATTAACTACTACAACCAAATATGTCTTTCGAATGGATACAGCAACCAGAAAGCAGATTTCGTTTTAGTTTAATTTTTATAAAGTTTGAGATCATAAGGTGAAGAGTGGTATTGAGGCTTGTGTCTACTTAAGAATCTTTTATAAAAGGCCTATGGGATTGGATTGACTCCTCCATGATTCTGAAATATTTGGACACGCCTACCTGTGAAGGTAGGCAGTCTTTTGTGTGTGGGAAAATGATGAGCATTCTAGGCTCTTGACATGAAGGTAATTTTTTCACATTTCCCTTTCCCCAGGTTTAATGTTTCAGATGACAGTCCCAATTAAAGAATTTTTAAAAATCAACATAAAAATTTAAGATGGGGACCAGCAGATGGCATAATGGTTACATTACTGGACTCTGATGTTGTTGACAGCAATTTGAGTCCCAGATCTGGCAGCTTAAAACTTTCGCTGGGCGCATGTGTATGCATGCCCAAAATCCCGAGAGGAGAATGGAAGAGAAGGAATTGTGACGTGGTCATCACTCCTTGGGGGTGATTTCTCGCTTTTTATCTCTCTCTCTCTGGTAAGCGCACACACTCTATAGCAAAAATCTCTCCAAAAAAATTTTTTTAAGATGGACTTTTGAAGTGTTCCACTTTCAGCACCTTTCAGTCCATTAGGAAATGTCAGCAATTTGATCTATCTGCCTTGGATGTACCACACGGACTGCTTGGTCACATGAAATTCTTCTACCTCCAAGGTTTACGTGTATAACCAAGTTTTACACCAATGTTCTTTCTTTTTTTTTTTTTTTTGGAGAGGTTTTTGCTATAGGGCACGTGCGCTCGCCAGACAGACAGAGACATAGAGATAGAAAGCGAGAAATCACCCCCCAGGGGGGCTGGTCACGCCGCAATCCCTTCTCCATTTCCCTCTCGGGATCTTGGGCACGCATGCACACGCACCCGGCATGAGTTTTAAGCCACCGAGTCCGGGACGAGAACCGCAGTCGACTATGTGGGAGTCCAGCCACCCAGCCATTACGCTAACTGCTGGTTCCCATACACCAGTATTCTTAACAATGATTTTCACACGAATTATACCTGTTGTGATCCTGATAAGCATGCAAAATAGGCAGTAGCCCCATTTTACAGATGAGGAAACTGAAGCAAGGCAAGACCAATTAAATTAAACAAGAGAACAGAGCTGCAGTTTACAAATGGTTGAGCTGGTATTCAAATCCAGTTCACATACCTGTCACCGCCCACATTCCTTCATACTAAACTGCTCAAACTAACACTGTGAGAGAGGTATTTACTGTTCATAGGTAGCTATTAGTCTTACCTCACAGATAAGGAAACTTAAGGCTCAAAGACTAAACCATTTGCTAAAATCACAAAGATAGTCAAGCGTCCTGTCAAAGCCTGAGTCTTCTCTGCTATCCCAGGTACTTGCCATGGTGATACAATACAATTAAAATGACTTCTAATGATGCAGCCACTAAAGAAATCAGTACTGATACAATTAAAAGCATCTCTTCAACTATTTAACAAAATAAAGACATGTCTTTCATGGAAAACTAACATTCATAGATGCGATATCATTTTCATAAGACTCCCTGATTTTCTTCATGATCTCTTCCTCAGCTTTGGCACATGTTTCCACATTGCCTTTAACTGTAATGGTGCGTTCGGGATTATACAGCGTCAGTTCCTGTAATCTGCCAATTGAAAAAGAAGGAAAAGGAAAAGAATGAAAATTATAGGAGGAAGATAGCTAATAATAATTCAGCCACAGATGGCAATTAAAACCAAACTGTAGAGCCTGGCAGTATGTGCAAATGGGAGGTCAAACATGCTGGGAAATGAGTAGGCCCCCGGAGAAATGAATCTAAGATTGTAAAGCTGCAAGAAAGAAGGAAATACGTCCCCTCCCACCTTCTCAATAAAAATTAATGGGTATAACACAGTTCAGTTAAGACCATGTTTAAACATAGTTTACTTCTTGACAACTTAAAGTTGAACCATTTTCTCAATTTAACAGTGAGTTGAAAAGGAATGATCAGAAGGATGTCCGGTTTTAGCTGAAACCAAGAAACAGATGCACATAACCTTTTAAATAAGTATGCTCCTGGTCTGTACTGACCGATTCTAGGCATAATTGGCATTCTCATGCAATTGCATTTTCTGGATCACCAAGCAAGGAAAAAGCATGGAAATATTCCAAAAAGGCCAACTAGAATGTGTGTATCTAGACCTAGATTTTGCCTGTGTATTTGAGAATTTAGATGGGCATAGGCTGGAGGAAAGAATATAAATCAATCTATTTGACTAGATTTTTTAAAATCATCCATTTATGACCATTTAGACAACAAAAAGGTTAGATAACAGAAGCAATATTTACGAATTTCCTCCTTGTCCCAGGTTCCAATGAAGTTCTAAAATCCACTAAAAATTCTATCTGTGAACATCAAAAACTAACCTAGTCAACAGCCTTGAAAGAAAAATCAATGGGAGGTATTTACCATAGGAAACAGAGCTGAATATGTACGCTCAAAGAATATGGAATATGTATAGCTCTCTTTTGTTATCCTAAAGTTAAAATTCTTATTTTCACTACTAGCAAAATGTCATAGGCTAACATAAAGCCAGATGAATGGGATATTATTTCTGAATGTTTTCTCAAATTTGCTAAAAATGTAAATATCTATTTTGCATCATGACTTTTCCAACAATCCAATATATAATTAAGTGTATTTGTCTCAGACTACTTATAGAAGTATATAATTCTTATCTCCAGTTTCAACTCAGCCCTGCCAAGCAATTTGTATGACAATTAGCATAGCTGCCCCTAGAACACCTTTCAAGATTTTTTTCCTTTTAAAAGCCTCTCTTCTGAGTGTAATCTTCAAGACAGAGTATTATCATCTATTATATTCACCACTTGTTTTTTCCCCTTACTTATTTTAAACAGTCTAACAGGACTTTCCTACTTTCTTACCATCTCCTCTGAAAATTCCTTCATACGCAAATATCTTGCCTCAGCCTTTCCCCACTATGCTTTACCTTTTGGTGTATTCTCATAGAAATTAAGGATAGTCACCTTCCAAAGTAAGAACAGTCTTTCCATATAATTTCAGAGCGTTCATGGACCCTAGATGTAGTATTCTGCCTCTGAGGTCCCTTCCATACACATGTGAATAGGGGTGACCTGTGTCTACAATATTGAAAAAGTGGCAAGAGTGTTAACTTCCGAGACTATGTTATAAAAGACAGGGACCAGCAGTTGGCAAAATGGCTATGTCACCGGACTCCCATATAGTCGACCGTGGTTCGAGTCCCAGACCCGGGGGCTTCAACTCATACCAGGCGCATGTGCCTGCGTGCCCGAGATCCCAAGAGGAGAATGGAGGAGAAGGGATTGCGGTGTGGCCATTCTCCCTGGAGGGTGATTTCTCACTTTCTGTCTGGTGAGCACACACATGCCCTATAACAAAAACCTCTCCAAAACAAAAAGAAAAAGACAATGCAGCTTCCATCTTGTTCCTTCTTAGATCTACCACTCTGGGGAAAGACACTTGAGGATGCTCAAACAACTCAGAGAAAAGGACCACATGGTGAGGAACTAGGGCCTCCTGTCAACAGCCAGCATAGACATGTCACAGCACTGAGTCCCCAAGCCAGAACCACCTAGCTAAGCTGCACATGAAATCCTGACCCACAAAAACTAGCTGAGCAATAAATGCTTACTGCTGTTTGTAAGCCATCAAAGGTTGGCATAATCCGTTATATAGTTATGGATAATAAACTGGGTTATACATTCCAATTTGGGGGATAAATATCAGAAAATGTGGTCAAGCCTTTAGCTAGAAGATGTGAATGTGAAGCATTTAGTTCTTCCTGTCTCCTTAGTGTGAACAGACAGTGCTTTCAATATGAGTGAGAGATGCATAGTAAGGAGTAGACTGAATTTGACAAAGTATAAGTGCAGTTGCAAGGCTAGCTGAACCAACTGTAGAGTAGAGGCAGGGGCTAAGCTTAATATAAAACACTGAGGTTGGGGCCAGTAGGTGGTGTGGTGGTTGAGAAGCTGGACTCCTACAAGGTTGACTGTGGTTCAAGTCCTGGACCTGGCAGCTTGCTTTCTCACTGTCCCTTTCTCTCTATGGTCAAATTTTAATTAAATAATTCAAACAAACAAACAAACACTGAGGTTATCAGTATGTGATGGGCAAGCAGATGGAATGGTGGTTGAGGCTCTGGACTCCCACATGGCCAACCACAGTTCAAGTCCCAGACTTGGCAGTTTTCTTTCTCACTTTTTCTCTCCCTCTTTCTTGTTCTCTCGCTCTCATGCCCTATAGCAAACTAAATAATAATAGTAATAATAAAAAGTACGATAAAAAAAACTGTGTGAAAGTTTTCTAATTCAAGCAAGGCAGCACTTACGGAGATATTGTGATTTTAGTGTCAGTGTCTTGTTCAATTTTTTTAAGGTTTCTTCCTTCTTTACCAATAAGACGGCCTACAAAGTTGTTGTGGGCTAAAATCTTCAAAGGGATCTCTTCTGTGCTGTAAATAGAAAAATGGTCATAAAATCAGGGTAAGTACACCTTCCCTTGGTTAAAAAGACAACATTAATTCATTAAACATTTATTTTTTTACCTACCACTTGTGAAATATTATATTAGGTAGTATTAAGCTTGCTGACAATGAGCCTACATTCTAGCAATGCATGAACAGAAGGGCAGAAAAACTTTAACAAGTATTTGGACAGAAGTTAATTTTTAAAATAGTGTTTATTTTATTCACTTCAAGGAATATATATGTTTTCAGTGGTGGATTCTCTTACTTAAATCCATATTCCTAAATGTCTAACAACAGAACGCAATGTACAAATGCAAAACAGTACAGTCCTAAGATAAAATGTATACTTGGGAGACACATGCATAATTTATAGGGGAAAAAAAACTTGAGTGGTTATACTTTGAGGAATGGATGTAAGAGCAGGAAGGGGATTTCAATTTCACTTTTCAATTTGTACCCTTCTTAATTTGTAAGTCATATACAAATCACTGTTCAAATATATCACTGAGGTTTATCAGAGAGTGGGCTTTTCCTTTATTATTCTCTATACTAAAGTAATTATATCCCGGGGCCAGCAGATAGTGTGGTGATTAAGGTGCTGAACTCACACATGGCTGGCTGCTGGACCTGGCAGCTTCCTTTCTCTCTCTCTCTCTCTCTCTCTGTTGAGCACACGTGCCCTATCAGAAACTGAAACCACACAAATAATAAATGAAATTCAATAACTACTAAAAAATAATTAAATCATTATAATACAGCACCCATATATAACAACGTGTTACTTACATATATTTAAAGGTCTCTACAAATTAAGTATTAGTGAACAAGCCCCCAGGGTAACTCCAACACCTTACTTTAGGTTCAACTTTTAGAGTAAAGCTGTTATGTCATGAAAAGTGGCACAGCACCCAATCTCCACTTGAAGTTTTCATAAACGAGTTAAGAGTTTGAACCTGTTGCCCAAGTAACTCTGCAGTTTACCTTAGCACAAATTACGGACTTCCCCACCTCCAGACTCTGATGCTCCGGGGTGGAGTTGGGCAGAGGGTAAGAATAGCTCCAAGGCACTCTGTGTAAGTGAGGATTTGGGACACTCATCTGAGGTAATTCCTGGGATATTTCTTGGTCCTAAGTGGCTTTCTAGGTTCCTTAATTGCCACCTTATATACCTGGGTGTCTCTTCTTATTATCACCACTCATATTATATCCAATCATGAATGAAAACAAAATATTTGAATATTTGCAAGACTCGGGTGTCACAACCAAGTGAATAGTGAAATACTATAGCTCCTCAGGCTAGTGTTTCCCTGTGTTTCTTGGCAATTACTAAGAACTGTGTCAAAGAAACTCAAAATAGGATAGCACCAATATTAACCTCTTTCATGGGTTAATCCTTTTTACTCACAATTTTATATCTTGAGCTTCCTTATACATAATCTCCAGAATAGACTTACAAGCTGCAGAGGTGCCTTCAGGGGTAGAGAGGATAGTAATTGACTTCTCAGCAGCCCCTGCATTCTCTTTACGATGGACATCGATTCTGAGTGGGCAGAAGCAAAGAGGGAGTAAGTATGAGTGCCACAAGTGTATAGTCATAGCGGTAATCACCAAGTGCAAAGTCATAGGATTTCTGGGCACAGAGTGGATGACTCACTTCTCTCAAGAGCATAAACTCTTGATAAGCTGTCAACACAGATGCCTTGGAGAAAAAATTTAATTCTAGGAACACACTCCTCTCTTTCTTCAATACAGCCAAGCAGGGACATCTTTTCATTTTGCTCAAGCTATTTGTGCTTAAAGATTTCTTTTACATGCCAGAGAACAAACACCTCACATCAAAGAGCCAGGGCTCAGACAAAAGGCTTTCTTCTGCTCTAAAACAAGTAGCAACTGGAGTACGTGCCAAAAGAGTTGGAGTTGGAAATCCTACCAGCCAGGTTGAACTCTTTATTCTGCACAGTATTATCCAGAGTTCATAGTCTAAGCAGATTTCACACTTCTGCATCCCTTCTGCAAAGCTTCCTATACTTTGCCTCCCTGATCAAGCAAGTACACAACAAATAGAGACCAGAAGGGGGCCAGCAGGTGGTGTGGTGGTTGAGGCGCTGGACACCTTACATAGCCGATCATAGTTTGAGTCTTGGACCTGGTGTTTTGCTTTCTCTCTCTCTCTCTCTGGTCAAATGAAAATAAATAAATAAAAATGAATATAAACCATTCTTTTTTTTTTTTTTTTTTGAGAAGTTTTGCTATAGAGCGCATGTGCTTGCCAGAAAGGCGGAGAGAGACAAAGAGACAGAAAGTGAAAAATCACCCCCCTCCAGGGTGGATGGCTATGTTGTAATCCCTTCTCTTCCATTCTCCTCTCGGGATCTTGGGCACGCACACACATGCACCCGGCGTGAGTTTAAGCTACTGGACCCAGGACTCAACTACATAGGAGTCCAGTGACATAGCCATTTTACCAACTGCTGGTCCTGTAAAATAAATAATTCTTAAAATAAATAAATAAATAGTGACCAGAAGGAAACCCAAAGAGATAGCAGTTTTACCTCAAAGAAAAGCTAACGGTCAACTATTTCAAAAGGATGTTCAACCTCACTAGTAATTATATATGTGCCAGTTAAAACAAGATGTCATTTTCTTTTAGACCTGCAAATATTTTGAGATACAGTGTTGGTGAAATGATGAACAACAGGACACACTCACACCTTTGATTCAAGAATCCTACGTCTCATAATATTTCCTGCAGATATAGTCTCATATACTGCCAAGGATGGTGTTTCTCACCCTCAGCACTGTTGACATTTGTCATCTTTGGTCATGGCAGGGTATTACATGCCTTTTAAGATGTTTAGCAATATCGCTGGCCTCTGCCCACTAAATGGACTCACTTCTCACCAGTTGCAATAACCCCAAATGTCTTTAGTCACTGCCAAATATCCACTGGGGGACATACACCAGCCCTGCTTGAGAACCACAAGTGTAGAAATGTTCACTTTGGCACTTAAATCCATATCATAGAGCTATTTTAAATAAATCAATATTTTAAATAAATGCACACATACACACATACATAAAAAAAATTAAAAAAAAAAAAAAGATGGCACCAACAAAGAACCCTTGGTCTTAAAACGAAGAAAATGCAATGTTTATCATGATATAATTTCTTTTTTTTAAAGTTACATATTGGAGCTGGCAGGTAGCATGGTGGTTAAGGGCACTGGACTCCCACACGGCTGACCGTGGTTTGAGTCCTAGATCTGGTGGCTTGCTTACTTTCTCTCTCTCTCTCTTTTTCTCTCTCTCTTCTCTCTCTCTTTTGTTCTCTCCCTCTCTGGTGAAATTGAAATGAATGTATGAATAATAAAGTTAAATTTTAAAAATTATTTTAAAAATGTTACACATTAGCAGATGTGAGTCCTATGAAGATACATCCCCAACTTAACAATGGCTACCTTAGATAGCGAGACGAACATAACTATTTTTAATTTACACATCTGTACATTTTAATTAAATACAAAACAAGTCTGCTGTTATTAAGAAAGTAGGTCAACAACTGCAAATTGTGGGTTTTAGGGAAAAATTAAGTACTTGTTGAGTCCTTTTGGTCACTCAAATACTAGAAGGTAAAAGCTACAACTCATTGGAGCTGGCAGGTGGCATGGCAATTAAGGGTGCTGGACTCCCACATAGCCAACCACAATTCAAGTCCTGGATCTGGTGGCTTGGTTTCTCACTTTCTCAGTCTCTCTCTCTCAGTCTGCCCCTCTCTGGTCAAATTAAAATAAATAAATAAAATTAATACAAGTTAAATAAAATAATTCTTTTTTAAAAAGCTACAACTCATGGACACAAGAATGATCAGTTGTTTATGCCAATAAAAAAAATTCAAGATTTGGATTTCATTCTTCCAAATGTTTGGTTGAAAGCTGGGATTGGACATGCTTGGCTCTGTGGCACAGTAGTAATGCACTGCTCAAGAAAAGCTGGATTCCACACAGTAACTGAGGTTTGAATTCACAGTCCAGGAGGTCTGAAAGTGCCCAAGATCTGAGGGGCCAGAGGTATGCAGAAAGGGACTCACTGTGTGACCAGACTCTCTGGAGTGTGCTCCTCTCTCTCTGTGTCTCATTCTCATACATACTATCATGAATAAAGAAAAAAATTTTAATTAAAAGTTAAAATAAGAACAATGTAGAAATGAAACAAATAAGGGCCACCTAGAATGTTATTTTTTTAACGTGCTTTAGAAGAGTCTCATGGTTTCAATATCACATCATTGTCATTAATGCTCATCTTCTGGTTTCATGTTAATATCCCTCCTTCCAGTTCATTTCCACCCTGTCACTATGTAAAGTACTACTAAACTCTGATCCCCTGAGAGAAGGGAAGGTTGCTTTGGAGATTAGAGTGGTCCTCTGAGACCGTTTCAGAAGTAGAAGTTTTGATAATGACTAGTTTCATGGCAAAGAGTTAATTAGATCCACTGGCAGAGCTCTGCAAGTGAATCATCGGATATAAAAAAAAAATCTGCTTCCCTTCTTCTCCATCCCCCATCTTCCTGCCTTAAGTAAAACAAACAGTTCCATTTAAATAGCAGTTCTTTCATCTGACAAGGAAATGAGGAGCATGAAAAGGAACAACTCTTAACCTGCCACACAGCAAGGAAGGGAAACCATGTAATAAATTTCTGTAGGTAAGTCTAGATCAAGGAAAGCAAAAAGCCCTTAAATTTTCAGATTAAAGCCAGGTCAACTGATGGAAATGGTTCAAGCATCTTTCTCACCCACTATGTGATGAGATCGGAGCCATCAATTTTGCACGCAGGTAACTGCCCAATGACTCCTGCTTCCAGATGTCCCTGTAGGAGGTGAGGGTGGGCATGCAACCACACCAAATACAATTATTTTTTGGTTTTGCATGAGCGGTGAGTCAGCTAGTTCAAGGCAGGCATGCTGCCTATGAATACGGATATTCTTCTAAGCCAGCTGGAACAAACACATGAGCAAAGTATACACAGCGCTGTCATTCTACTTTCAGAGAAAGACTATACTTAACTCCTGGTCACAGAAAATAAAATCGCTCTCTTTACTGAATTTAAAAGGAAAAATTATTCAGTCATTTCTGCAGCTGGCCCAGGGATGACACTGCGGGCCAACATTGTCTGAACACACCCTCTTCTTCCTAGTATACTCAGAATTTCTTCAGGAAATAAAGAGTAACAGGCCAGAGATGTACTTCAGAGACTTCACAGAGCAAGGGACAAGTAGCTTACCACCAAGCCTCTTTGGGTCAAATACACATAGACACACATACACCAGCACGTTTAGGAAGCAAAATGACCAACACATACTACACTGGAAGCTTCTGAACTGAGACTGTTTTAACACTTCGTAGGTCACATGCAGCCATTTCACCCACTTGATAAATACAAGAGCCTTCTACACCAGCCAATGGCCCAGTTCAATAAATACAACAGTTCCTGTTTTCTATACCCCTGAAAAGTTAGCTCCCATGTCTGAATAGGAGTCTTCCAATCCTGATAACCTGCTTACTAAAACTCAACATTCTGAAGAAAAAGCCATTTTTACTACATGGCTTAATCACAAGATAAATTTGAATAATTCTTTACTGAAACAAAGCAAGACTGTAGAACCATCTCTGGAGCCAGTCCTGTGGTGCAGTGGGTTAAGGGAGCCAGATCCCACATGGCTGACTAGGGTTGAAGTCCTGGTCCTGGTGTCTTGAAAAACATGTCGGGCACATGTATGTGCATGCCCAAATTCCTCATAGGTAAGAGGAATGAAGGAAAAAGGATTATAGCATAACCACGCCCCTCTTGGGGGGGGGGCGCTTCTCCCTCCCCCATCTCTCTGGTGAGCACACAGGCTCTTTAGCCAAAAAAAAAGGGGGGGGAAGGGTGGCAGGGGAGTAGAGTAGAGGAAAGGAAAGAAAAGAAAAACCATTTTTGTATTAAAGCTACAGATGAGATGGACTGGGCCCAGAAACTGCTGCCAAAAGCACTAAAGGTGAGGGGCTCAAGGAGAGGCAGTGGCCAGGAACCACCTAGAGACTGCCCTTTGTCTACCAGGGCCTCCCCAGCCAAAAATGGATCAGGTGTCATTTGTTTTCCATTCATGTGTGAAAATTTGAGGTTCCTTTTGAGACTGAGGTTTAGCCCTAGACTTATACGAAATGAACAGGAAGATATCAAATCACGAGGTTTTCTCCACATTCTCAAGTACTGTTCAAGGAGGGTGCCAGACATGTTCACAAAGGCCAAGCACCACAACACACGCTGTTATTAAGATCCCAGGGGAAACACCAACACCTACCACATACTTGGAAATACTCACTTAGACTGGGTCTGTTTAGTGATGTTCCGAATGGTGGCACCTTCTTTTCCTATGATAGCGCCTACAAACTGAGTGGGAACCAGCAGGCGCAGAGGCAAGTCACATGGCTTCTGCTTGGATACAGATCCTGGAGACCCCTGTCTTGGTGAACCTCTCTGCCCAAGCCCACGGCGACCTCGGGGCTGCTGCAAGGGGTTCTGCTGGGCAGCCACTTCGTCGGGAATGTAGGCTACTTTCAGAGTGAAATTCTCTAACTGGAATCCATTCAGTTTGTCTAAGGCTCTGCAAGGTAACAAGAGGCAGGAGGCAAGAAGACAGGTCAAACTGAATAATAAAACTTTCAGCAAAGCAACACCCATCTCACCCGCTCGGGACTGTTGGTTCCCAAACTTGTGAATGAAGTTACCACACAACCAGCAAACCTGGAACACATAACCCCACTTACATGGTTCACGCACACTTCCTTTGGAATACACATGGGGAAAATAGGTCAACAGTTTACAAAGGGAACCTATTTGCCATCTACCAGTGAAAAACAGAAAATTTAAAAAGGAGTCTAACTCTTGACCGAGAGTTTAACCTATGATGGTCCTAACAGTTGAGAACATACAAGCAGCAAGAGACGAGTGAGTGGACAGGTCTTGCTTCATCCTAGAGCTGTGAATCAGAATGGGAAAGGCACGAGAAAGACATACGTCCCTCCCCTTCATTCTCTAAGATAATTCACTCTACAAAACATTTTAAAGAACAATGGATAAAAATCTCTACAGTATTCTATCCTAAGTATTAAATTATATCAATCCCTCAATAACATCTCAGTGACCTACGAGAAGTCAATCCCCAAAGACACAGCAGCCCCTGACCTGGGCAGTTTACGATCTGATCTGGGACAGAGAGGCAGCGGTGTGGTAAACTAAGAAATTTACCCTTCCATCCCTCACACCATCTATCTGGGGAAAGTGTCACTTCTTTTGACTGCTGAACTCTATAGTAACCTACATATGGGACAGCACCCAAATCTTCAGCATACATCTCAGTGAGTCTTCAGAAGAGACCAGAGGACCCCTTCCAGGGGTCACCTTCCCTAGACATTTTTTTTTTGAGAAGTTTTTGCTATAGGGTGCATGTGCTCACCAGAAAGAGACAGATAGAAAGTGAGAAATCACCCCCCGGGGGGGATGGCCACGCTGCAATCCCTTCTCCTCTATTTCCTTCTCAGGATCTTGGGCTTGCACGCACATGCGCCCGGCATGAGTTTAAGCCATCAGGTCCAGGACTTGAACCATGGTCGACATATGGTAGTTCAACAACATAGCCGTTACGCCAACTGCTGGTCTCACTTTCCTAGACTTCTAACACCATAGGTTAACTTTACTCATTTTTAAATTCTACAGAAACATATGTGAGCACACATACTATGTACGCTCTCATGTCTGGCATCTTTTTGTTTTCTTCTTTTTCCAGTCTGGGTCTTACTATGTTGTGATCTTCCTGCCTTAGCCTCCTGGTAGCTGGGGCTGTGGCATGTATCACAGGCCCGCAAGGTGGGCAGGAACTGAACAGGGGCCTCCGGCGTGGCCTTGGCATGCTGAATAATAGTGTCACCTAGAGCATGCTACTGCAGCTGACATGTCTGACGTCTATATAATTATTATGTTTGTAAGATTAATCCAAATTGTCATGTGTCTCATTCTTTATTTTTAAAAGAGGAAATCTCAACAATAAATTGCTAAAGAGCAGATAGCCCAGATTTCAAAAGTATAACATTCAACACAATCCTGATAATACATACCTTCCTGACCTCCTAGTGCTCCAAAAAATGAAAAACAAAAAAGGTCCCAAATTTTTCCTAACACTATTGAGGTTCTTTGCTCAGATTCTATTCTAATGGCCCCCGACTTGAGCCTGGGCAGAGAAAGGAAAACAAGCATAGTCTTGTTTATTTAGTCTACTTAGTCTCTCTCTAATTGTTTACTGTGGTCATTTCTAGTTCATACACTGATTTCCTTATTTGGAGATCTACTTTCACTTCTTGACTGAGAGGGGAAAAGGGAGGACAGAGAGATGGCCCTGGCACTTAAAAGGACAATGAGAGCATGGAATTTGAAGACAGGCCTAGGCAAGCAGGTAGGAGGGCTCCTGGTGTTCTCAGGACCCTCTTTTCTCACCCTTGATGCCCTGGTCTGTCACTGTGCTCTATACCCAGCACAAGAACAAATGAACTCTTGCTGTGTAAGATCCCAGTCATGCAGAAATACAAAAGTAAAAGACGTTGCTCTGGCACTATCGCAACCTTCCGATGCCCTTCTCAGAACTGTGGATACCATGATAACCTCTGCAAATGGACTGGCTTTTGCTTCCCCCTTGCTACAAATATGTGTATGTATGTTCACCTTCTGTAAAAGCATACAGGGGGCCGTGATATAGTGGGATGTTGGAAAAGTCATGATGCATTCTTGCACAGGAAAAATGTATGTCATGACTTTTCCAACAACCCAATACATGGCTCTGTGGGTTTTTTTCCAAATACAGTACATCTTGAGACATTATTCCCACAAGATTTCTACGTCAATGGGTGCTCTATTCATAAGCTTCAGAGGGTGACAGCAGCTACACACCCCAACTTATTTTACCAGTGCCTGGATGACAGATTGTAAGGTCACGTATTACTCCTTGCTTTCCTCCTCCCCCCTTTTTTCCTTAAGGACAAAAAGGAACATGAGTCAAGGATCCTAAAATAGGTCAGTTAATATTTATGACATAAATTAATTATGGAAAGTTGGAGTTGCAAAGTTTTGACTAATTAGAAATTTATTCAAAACATGGGACCAGCAGTTAGAGTAATGGCTATGTCACTGGACTCCCATGTAGTTGACCGCGGTTCGTGTCCCGGACCCAGTGGCTTAAAAAACTCATGCCGGGCACGTGTTCGTGCATGCGCAAGATCCCGAGAGGAGAACGGAGGAGAAGGAATTGCGGCATGGCCATCCCCTCCTGGGGGTGATTTCTCACTTTCTATCTCTCTGTCTGTCTCTGTCTGTCTGATGAGCACATGCGCCCTATAGCAAAAACCTCTCCAAAAAAAAGAAATTTATTCAAAACAACTGTAAGCCTCTTGTAGATCAGAAGAAAACAGATCACTGAAGTTCTTTCACTAAAAATAAGGAAACCTGAACCCATCGAGGAATCAACTAATAGTAAAGGCATTAAAGGCAGTACAGTTCACTATTAACATCATCTATCTTGAGGGAGACAGACAAAGACATCCTTCCTCACGGGGATAAACAGAAACAAACATGTAAATTACCTGATGCTTCTATGTATTCTGGACTATCTAAGTAAAATCTTATGTATTCCAAGAAACAACTCTCTCTAAAAACTAACTTTTAGAGGGGCTGGCGGGTGGTATGGTGGTTAAGGCATTAGACTCCCACAAGGCTGACCATGGGATGAGTCCCAGATGTGGTGGCCTGCTTTCTCTTTTTGTCTCTTTCTCTGGTCAAATTAAAGAATATAGTTGTAATAAAGTTAAATAAATAATTCTTTAAAAAACAAAAACAAAAAACTAACTTTTGGGTCAGCCAGTGGTGTGGTAGTTGAGGTGGCTGGATTGCATATGGCTGACAGTTTTTTTTTTTTTGAGAAGTTTTTGCTATAGGGTGCATGTGCTCACCAGAAAGAGACAGATAGAAAGTGAGAAATCACCCCCCGGGGGGGATGGCCATGCTGCAATCCCTTCTCCTCTATTTCCTTCTCAGGATCTTGGGCTTGCACGCACATGCGCCCGGCATGAGTTTAAGCCATCAGGTCCAGGACTTGAACCATGGTCGACATATGGTAGTTCAACAACATAGCCGTTACGCCAACTGCTGGTCTCACTTTCCTAGACTTCTAACACCATAGGTTAACTTTACTCATTTTTAAATTCTACAGAAACATATGTGAGCACACATACTATGTACGCTCTCATGTCTGGCATCTTTTTGTTTTCTTCTTTTTCCAGTCTGGGTCTTACTATGTTGTGATCTTCCTGCCTTAGCCTCCTGGTAGCTGGGGCTGTGGCATGTATCACAGGCCCGCAAGGTGGGCAGGAACTGAACAGGGGCCTCCGGCGTGGCCTTGGCATGCTGAATAATAGTGTCACCTAGAGCATGCTACTGCAGCTGACATGTCTGACGTCTATATAATTATTATGTTTGTAAGATTAATCCAAATTGTCATGTGTCTCATTCTTTATTTTTAAAAGAGGAAATCTCAACAATAAATTGCTAAAGAGCAGATAGCCCAGATTTCAAAAGTATAACATTCAACACAATCCTGATAATACATACCTTCCTGACCTCCTAGTGCTCCAAAAAATGAAAAACAAAAAAGGTCCCAAATTTTTCCTAACACTATTGAGGTTCTTTGCTCAGATTCTATTCTAATGGCCCCCGACTTGAGCCTGGGCAGAGAAAGGAAAACAAGCATAGTCTTGTTTATTTAGTCTACTTAGTCTCTCTCTAATTGTTTACTGTGGTCATTTCTAGTTCATACACTGATTTCCTTATTTGGAGATCTACTTTCACTTCTTGACTGAGAGGGGAAAAGGGAGGACAGAGAGATGGCCCTGGCACTTAAAAGGACAATGAGAGCATGGAATTTGAAGACAGGCCTAGGCAAGCAGGTAGGAGGGCTCCTGGTGTTCTCAGGACCCTCTTTTCTCACCCTTGATGCCCTGGTCTGTCACTGTGCTCTATACCCAGCACAAGAACAAATGAACTCTTGCTGTGTAAGATCCCAGTCATGCAGAAATACAAAAGTAAAAGACGTTGCTCTGGCACTATCGCAACCTTCCGATGCCCTTCTCAGAACTGTGGATACCATGATAACCTCTGCAAATGGACTGGCTTTTGCTTCCCCCTTGCTACAAATATGTGTATGTATGTTCACCTTCTGTAAAAGCATACAGGGGGCCGTGATATAGTGGGATGTTGGAAAAGTCATGATGCATTCTTGCACAGGAAAAATGTATGTCATGACTTTTCCAACAACCCAATACATGGCTCTGTGGGTTTTTTTCCAAATACAGTACATCTTGAGACATTATTCCCACAAGATTTCTACGTCAATGGGTGCTCTATTCATAAGCTTCAGAGGGTGACAGCAGCTACACACCCCAACTTATTTTACCAGTGCCTGGATGACAGATTGTAAGGTCACGTATTACTCCTTGCTTTCCTCCTCCCCCCTTTTTTCCTTAAGGACAAAAAGGAACATGAGTCAAGGATCCTAAAATAGGT